GAAGGAAATATCACAACACAAAGTATAGGTGTTGCGTTACTGCAAGTAGGATTTGCGTTGTCATCCTAAGCAGGAGCTTATATGATTAGAAAATCTACTAGCCGACAACTAAGATATTTTAAAGATACTTAATTTAATGGAGGAAAGATCATGGTGCCACTTAAAAAGGGCTTCTGCAGGTCAAGCTCCTATTTCCTCTGTGTACTATTTTCATCACTGCCTGAAGTAAAAATTCCCACCCATAAGAATTTTCCAATTGAAAACGGGAAACTGAATATTCTAACAAAGCAAATCTAAACCCAGGGAATTGGGTGGTGGATATTCAGAAAGAAATGTCCCTTTTAGGCAAAACCAAGTTTTGGAAACCAACTGACAACAGTAACTGCGTTTTAATAAAATTCATTTCACTGCCTCAATATGCATGGCAAACGGCTGCAAGTGTCAGGTCCAGATAAGCTGAAAGCAAGATGGCTGAAAGCTACATTTTCTAATCAACTTCCTGAATTATCTTTGACTCCTGGTAAAACCTCACATGTGACCTAATTACAAAGCATAGCATGCCAATATTTTCTTAACAAAAACATGGAAATTGGTATTCTAATTCTTTGGAAATGATTCATGATGTTATCCTTGTCTGGCTACTTCAATGAATTTTAGATATACTCTTCCCTTAAAGCTTTGTCTTCTGACTAAAAAGTGGCAGACACCAATTTTTGGTGACATCACCTTCGTTCTGTGTTCTATAATGCACAGTTTGAAAATTCTCAAAATTGTATACTGCAATTTCTGTTTTTTCTTGTTCTTTGGAGGGACCAGTGTGGGTAAAATCTTTGAAAATGCGGTCCCCCCTTTGACCTGGTCAAAGAGGATAACCAAAGAAGTTTAATTCTTTGAAACAGGAGAGCACAGACATGGAAATTCAAAATAGCATGCTAAGGTGTGTTTATTAGTAAGAGGGTAGAAAAGTGTGATTTAGATGACATACACCCCCCCGAGTTCTGTACTGAAAATTATATAATGACTTTAGTTTGGTATAAATTAATATGTATTTCTTTCCCCATCTCATCATGGTCTTTTTCATTCCAATCTTTTAATTTTTCCTGGAAGATTCCCTCTCTCCACCTCCTCACGATATCTAGGCTAAATGATATGGTGTCTTCTATTAGAGCTATCCTTGAAAAACTTATGTATGGAAAGACAACTAAGATAGTTTTAGGAAGAACATACAGAAGCTCTGAAATAGATATTGGTAGCTAAAAGAAGACTGTAGAGCAGCGGTTCTCAACCTGTGGGCCATGCTTCCTTGGCCCTTTCACAGGGTTGCCTGGTTCATAACAGTAGCAAATTTACAGTTATGAAGTAGCAGTGAAAATAATTTTATGGTTGGGAGATCACCACAACATAAAGAACTGTATTAAAGGGTTGCGGCATTAGGAAGGTTAGAACCATTGCTGTAGAGTAATGAGGGTTTTAATTGATAAATTATGTAACTTTTGGCATTGATAGAAATTATAAAATTCGAGAAAAAATGAGAACGATTTGAGCAAGAGTTACATTCTCTAATGACTGAAAGGGAAAGTAAATTGTTAAGGCAATTAGGATAGGAATAGATGAGAGTGGTAGAAGCCTACTTCACTGATAATATTAAAGGAAATGTCTATGGTTGTGGCACCTTTTTGGATAGCAATTGCCTAGGTCATTGGTGGTAATTATCTTTTCAGAGTGGCAATTTTAAGCAAATAAGTTACCAGATGAACCCCTTTGCAATCCAATAAAAAGTAGATAAAGGAAAGGTTCATACCTTAAAAGAGTGAAGTTTAGAGAGAAGAAGAAAGAATATGGGATTAGATCAGGTTAGGGATTATTTGGAGATGGTATTTTAAATTGAATTTAGAGGCACAGTGAATGAATTCTGATAGTTTCAGATGAGACATATCTGATGAGACACTATCTCCCACTTTGTTGTGAAATGTATCTCCTCACCTCACGCAGCCTATTAGAAAATGACTCTTGAAAGCTTCGTGCTATAAAGCCCTGGTCACACACAAAAATTAGCTTCATAATGTTTCCTGTTTCTGGCCTGGCACTTTTAATTAAAGGGTAGCATTGAAATTGTAATAGCAACCCTATAGGAAACATAGAAACCATAAGATCCAAAGCAATTAATTACATGATGTAATTGATGAATTACTCATGATTTCTTCCAGGAACTAAAAAAACAGGCAAGGTTAATGTGTTTTTACATAAGGGTCCATCTGTGAACATTTACAGCAAAGGATTATTTATTCTTCCACCCATTCATAAAGTTGATCATAAGAAAAGAGTATATTATACTTAGAGGTAGACCCTATTAATGCAAGTTTATTTCCTAGCCTCATAGAAATTTATCGAAGTGTAAAGCAAGGTCTATATACTATGATGGATAGACACAGTGTGTAACATATCATTACACTTCTAGGTGTGCTAGAAAACATATCTAGAACAATTCACATAAACTGTACTGATTTCCCAGGGCTTTAGTAAGAAGGTCCCACAATGTGAATTGCTTCAAAAAACATAAATTGATTGACTCACAGTTATTGTCCAAATTCTGGATGTTATCAAGCTCCCGTTTCTCTGACTTCTCTGGGGCAGTCTATCTAAGCTTCAGATACTTTCTTGAATTGTCACCTGACCTCATTCTTTTTGGCCTAGGTCTCTTCTGCTTTAGAATGAGCTAATAAAGAGCCAAACAAACTCCAAATGTCCTGCCATCCAGTTGATTCTGTCTCACAGGTTCCAGGTGTTAGCACATCAGCACAGCTTTTGGGACAATTCAAATCAAT